GGGGAGGGGGTTTCTTACCTTCTCCAATAGATCTGAAAAATAAGAAACAAAGAAGAAAAATTAATGAAGAGTTCGAGTTTTGATAACAGAGAAGCATGTCAATACAATAACGGCACATTAGTGCCAGGAAAAAGCAAGACAGACATACAGAAACAATATGGTAAAAGAACGGTGACGCCCTCAAACCACCCACATCCAAAAAGTACAAAGCAAGAGCAAAACACAGAAACAAACAGAGGAGAAAAAAAAAAAAAAAGTAGGATCTACAAGTGGCGTCTTCCGACCTTCCAGCATTCAAGAATATATTTTAAAAAGCAACCCTGTGGTGAAAATCAGAAAAATACTAAATATTTGGCACAGTGGTAGCATACCTTTATTTAAACAAATAAAAACAAAAAAGTGAAGACAAGTGAAACCTTTCTAGACTGACATAACTCTTTCGCTAAAAGATTTCTCATTTTGATACAACCTGTACGTCATTTAGAACTTTAAAAAAAAGATTCTAAATGAATAAAAAAAAAATTAAAATTTTCACCAAAATTTTTTTACAAAAATACAAAAACAGCCCCTGTTGTGAATGAGTTGAAAGCCCTCCAGCCCACCAAACACAGAAACAAAGAGGGGTGAAACAGGTCAGAGTTCACTCACAATTCGAGATGACCCCTCCGACTGGGTCACCTTTGAAGTCAAACTCAATGTCCATGTACTTGCCCTGCAGATATAAAAGAATGACATGGTGGTGGTGATGATGATGATGATGATGATGATGGTGGTGGTAATGATGATGATGATGAGTTGCTCTTAAAAAAAACCCTTCGAGGCCAAACATTGAGCCATTTTAACCCTATCCGTATGTCGTGTTTTACTATTGTATCCATACGATGTGGAGAACTCTGTGCCACCACTTTCAAAGAGGAAATTTACCCGTTAATCCGATCCATACGCTTTGCATAGTAGTCTGTCAAAATGAGTTTTTGAGAAATACTGAAAGTTTCAGAGATCTTTGTACTAGAAGTATTCTAAAATGTGAAGAACACAATCCTGGGGGTACAAAATGACGGATACGGATAGGGTTAACAAAAAAAATAAATTATTATTTGTTGAAAATACTATATTTATTATCACAGACTGAAAATTAACCAAGACAGTCCCTGCCTATTCTGCTTTTTCAACCATGATGAAGATGATAATGATGAAGATGATGATGAGGATATGGAGATGATGATGAGGATATGGAGATGATAATGAGGATATGGAGAAGATGATGAGGATATGGAGATGATGATGAGGATATGGAGGACGAGGAGGAAGCATAAACACAACCTGATGATGATAATGATAATCACACACAAATACACACATGCGCGCGTGCACACACACACACACACACACACACACACACACACACACACACACACACACAGTAGACTTACAAATCTGGAGGAGTTATCATTCCTGGTAGTCTTGGCATTTCCAAAAGCTGCAGATCAAAAAGAAGAAAGATTACACACGGTTTTGTTATTTTTGTCTCTCTTTGTCTTTTTCCATCCTATAAAAAAAGGTAACAATTAGCGTTGATTTATTTGCATGTTTGTTTGTTTGTCTGTTTGTCCAGTAAAGAGATGCACATCACAGGCGTCTGTAGTGTTGAGGTTAGACGTTATGAAGAAGGACTGAGTTTGATTCCTGAGTTGAGAGAAATCTTGATCCAGTACCTCAGTCTCTCTGCTGGGGTTTTATATCCCTCTCAGCTCGAGTTGACCCTCAGAAGATCACCTCCTAAATGATCTAAATTGTATTGATTAGGGTGTAAAAACACCTACATCCATTTTAGACAGAAAGGCTGAGTATTTCTTAGCTATGTGTCTGAGTGTCTATGTGTGTGTGTGTGTGTGTGTGCAAGCATAGTGCATGCGCATACATGTGTGTGTGTGTGTGTGTGTGTGAGTGTGTTTGTGTGAGTGTATTTGTGTGAGTGTGTATGTGTGTGTGTGTTAGTGTGAGTGTGTGTATGTGTGTGTGTGTGTGTGTGTGTGTGAGAGAGAGAGAGAGA